ACACATTATACACTCACAAACACACACTATACACACAAACACACTCAAACACACTACACAGTCACACTATACACACTTACACATTATACACACACACACACACACACAGACACACATACACACACAGAGTGAGTGAACCTGTCACACTGGATTCTTGTGTTTTGTGTGAAACATGAGGAAGTGGATTATAAAATCTTGTGTTTATTTCATTCGACCACTTTCCCTCACGGCCACTGGACTCACTTCTCACTTGTTGAAAACATTTTGGACTTAAATCCAGACTCTAAAGGAATTATTGGTAAAGTTTATGGTCTAATCAACTTGTCTGATGTGGAACCTCTGACTCGTGTGAAACTGAAGTGGGAGGAGGAACTGGGTGTGGAACTCTCTGATGATGTTTGACATTGGTTTTGAATCATTTCCATTTGTCCTCAATGTGTTTAGGACAAACAGTTGTACAGTTTAAAGTTGTTCACAGACACATTGGTCCAAAGTCAAACTCGCCAGATCAAACCAGAACTTAAAGCTCCTTGTGATCTCTGTGCCGCTGAACTAGACACATTATCACACATGTTTTGGTTTTGCACGAAGCTGAGAAACTTTTGGCCATCAATTTTTCAGTTTCTTTCAGATGCATTTGGGGTTAATGTTGAACCTGAGGCCACGACTGTAAAATCTGGGACATCGTTACAATCTGTGCACTCCCATAAGAAATAGAAAAACAGAATTGGCTTTGTCACACTCCTGGCTCCTGGAATAATTTTGTTTAAGTGGAAAGACAAACAACCTCCAACCTTTAAACTGTGGCTTGCTGAATTTATTTACCATCTCACATTAGAGAAAATCAGATTTTCCATAAGAGGCTGTGAAGATAAGTTCTACAGGACTTGGTGACCTGTTTAGAGTTCATGATTAAACATGTTGATCCCTCACTTATTTCACACGACTAACTACGATTCATTTAGTAACTCATGTTTTATATGTATTTATTATTATTATTATTTATTATTTTATTTTTAATGGTGAAACAGGTTGGGTTTGTTCTTGTTTGTTCTGGGTTTTGGATGTAAAACACATTATTCGTAAATGTTTACTGTATATCTAATGAATCAAAAAAAAAAAAAAAAAAACTTAGGAAAAAAAAAGAAAAAAGAATGATACACAGAAGTTTGTTCTTTGTTCAGACTTTCAGGATCCAGCAGAAACATCATCCGTGTGAACCTGGTCCCACCTGTGAGTCCCTCAGGAGTGACGTGTCTATGGAATCTCCGCGTGATTTTTCCCCAGAGCCGTAAGTTTCCTCAAGTGTTGAATAAAAGTGTTTAAATGAAGCTGAGTGTTTGATGTGTGTCTGTGACAGAGGGGAGCAGCCGGGTCCAGAGGTCTCCAGTGGTCAGCACCATCACACACAGCTGGACTCCATATTTAAGGGTTTGTCATCACTAAAGTTTGTAAATGTTCAGATGAATGAAGCTTTTTCACACAGATCTGACACTGACTGCTTTGTGTTGTTTATAATGTGTCTGTTCAGCTTTGGAGAGGACATCTATTTTGTCCAGAAGGAGCGCAGAAGCTCCACAAGGTTCTGAGTACAGATGCCAGAAGGTTTAAGATCCTGTGAGGATAGGATGAAGAGCAGAGGAGCTGCAGTAGGCTGTTCTGAGATCACACTGAACTCCTGAGGAGGATGAAGCGAAGGACTGGCTGAGCGTCTGGAGCAGTAGGCCATTTAACACATTTACAAGTGCTCACAGTCATTTATCTTCTCTGAGACTCAGGTCTTATCTGTGTCTTCATCAGGGAGTTATTCTGGAGTTTGTCAGCGTAAACTGAAGTCTGACCTGCAGCAGAAGTTTGGTGTGTGTTTGAGGGCATCGCTAAAGCAGGAAACTCCAGCCTTCTGGATGAATCTAAACAGACTCTACATCACAGAGGGAGGTCTTCAGAGGTCAACCAGGACATGAGGTCAGACACATGAAACGCCTCCAGGACACCAGGCCCAGCAGAGACACCCATCACATGTGAGACATGTTTAAAGCCCAGCTCACACACATGGAGCATCAGACAGTGCTGACAAAGGAGTGGCTGGCATCGGGAAACAGTGCTCACGTCAGAAGTTCAGTCTGGACTGGGCTCAGTGAAGCCAACAGGCATACAGGTGCTGTTCGTTCACTTTCAGAGCACTCATGTGCTGAGAGAGAAGATTAGCTTGGTGCACTGTCCGGTCACTTCTTTATCAACACGAGCAGAAACTCTGCAGCTTTGAGACCCAGGTGCTCTTCATCTTTGACGGCTGGACGAGTGCAGACCTCCTCTGGATTCACCAAACGAGCCCTGAACGACCCACAGAGTCCGCCTCATGCACGTGCTGCTGGTGAACCTCTCAGGGGGCCTGCTTCCCTCCGCTCGCTCTGGATAACACCGACGCGGCGGCCAATCAGATCCCTGCTGAGTGCGTCTCCATGGTGGACAGAGGTAGAGGTTCACCGACCGCAAAAGGAGCAGTATTCAGAAGAGTTCGAGACGAGGCCGACAAATCATCTCACATCAAGACGTCAGAATCCTCCACATCATGTGCCACCTGCCGATCTTCTGCTGGATCGCTGCGCAGTCCGGAGCTCTGTTGAAAAGCAAGAGAGAGCTGCCCAAGAACTGACTCAGATGTACATCCACTTCCCTGGTGGTTCAGGCAAGTCAGAAATAAGTATGAGAGGATCTGAGAAGACCAACTGGACTCAAGAGACCAGGAAGAGAAGTCTCTTGAAAACTGGCCTTTTGAGCAGCTGCAGAAAGGAAAACCTGATCTTCTACGAGAGTGACCTGAGCGAGTGGGGCTGGACACTGCAGCGGCCCTCAGTGTACTCCGGAGTGTTCACACAGGTCTTTAGAGAGGAGCCAGGCCTGTACCAGGACAAGGTCTACTGCTTTCATCCATCTGAGTGTGCAGAGTTTCTTGGCTGCTCTTCACGTCCCATCAGACCTTCTCAAAGAGAACCTGCTGGAACACACACTCTCTGACGTCCTGACACTAAAATCTACTGCCTTGTGGACAGGCTTACAGAGTCCAAACGGACACCTGGATCTGCTCCTCCGCTTCCTCCTCGGTCTTTCACTGTCGACCAATCAGAGCCTTCTACAAGGTCTGCTGACACAGACAGGAAATAGCTCCCAGACAATGAGAAAACAGCTGAGTACATCAAGAAGAAGCTGAGTGAGGATGTGTCTGCAGAGAGGAGCATCAACTGCTCCACTGTCTGAATGAACTGATGATCATGACTGGTGGAGCAGATCCACAGTACCTGAGATCAGGACGTCTGTCTAAGAAGAACTGTCTCCTGCTCAGTGGCAGCTCTGGCCTTCATCTTACTGTCATAGAAGAAGATCTGAGCGTTTGACTGAAGAAATACTTGGCTTCAGAGGAGGGTCTCCTGAGGCTGCTGCCAGTGGTCAAGGCTCCACCAAAAGCTCTGTGAGTCTCCTTTTGTTTAACAGAGATGGTTTGATTCAAACTTCTACATAAACAAGTTTTTGTCTCCAGACGAGAGCTGTAACTGTAGAGAACTGTGAAGCTCTGTCCTCAGTCTCAGCTCCAGTCCTCTAGTCTGACAGTCCTGGACCTCAGTCTCAACGACTTTGAAGGACAGGGCTGAAGAAGTTGTGTGTTGGACTGAAGAGTCGTCACTGTAAATGGAACAATCAGGTCAGAAATATACAGACTTTTACTGGTTTAAAGTTCATTCTTTCCTCAACTTTATCTTCTTTTTTAGACTGTTACCATAAAAGTGTATTTTTTTATTCTGTCTCATTGATTTTTGATGTTGTCAATTGTTTTCATGAAATGAATAACTGGTCCAGGTTAAAGTCAGAAATACAACACCATCCTACAGGAGAAATAGTCCTGTTTTTTGTTTTCATGAATACATTTATTTTTCTTTACAGATTGATTGTTGAGATTGGGAGTGAAGGATGTGTCTGAACTTGTCACTTCTGTTCTGAGTTCTTCTCTAATGAGCTCCTGTCTACTTCTCCAGACTGAGCGCTGTTAACCTGTCAGAGAGAAGCTGTGAAGCTCTGTCCTCAGTCCTCAGCTCCTCTCTAGTCTGACAGTCCTGGACCTCAGTCTCAATGACTTGAAGGACTCGGGGCTGGAGATGTTGTGTGTTGGACTGAAAGAGTCGTCACTGTAAACTGGAACAGCTCAGGTCAGAGGGTTCATATTTCTTCACTATTATTACATAACCTGTTGGTGTTTGTGTTGGAAAATCCCATTTGATAAAGTCCATAAAGATATGGGACTTGTTGTTTGTCTCATTTGGGTTGAATGTTTTCTAATGAATGGACTTGATTCCAATAATCTGTGTCCTCAGACTGTCAGGTTGTCTGCCTCAGAGGAAGGCTGTGCTTTCTCTGGCCTCAGCTCTGAGGTCCAACCCTCCCATCTGATAGAACTGGACCTGAGCTACAACCATCCAGGAGACAACAGGAGTAAAGCTGTGTGATTACAGAGGACCCCACTGCACACTGGACACTCTCAGGTATGAACCACTTTACTGTGGACACAAAGACACTTTCACCAAACAGTGGACAGGATTTGACTAAGAATCAAAGTGACTTAAAGTGTTTTTTCCTCTCATCACAAACATTAGAAGTGTCCATTCAGCACAAAAACGAGTTGAGCTGTTGCGTCCTTCATGCCCCATGTGCTGTATGAGCCAGTTACTGATGCTGAGTGTGAATGTGGTGTATTCATCATCCTCAGGCCTCAGCTCAACATCGTCAACAGATCAATATAAAACCTTAGAGCTGTGAGCCTGCATTAAAGCTCCATATGACACTATTTGATGATCTCTGTTCTAATGTGGTTTCCTCATCACAAACACACCTGGACTTGTCTTTTGTTTCATTCACATGTTTAACACACAAACCTGCACATTTACACATCTGAGCTCTTCTCTCAAACCCAAACTCTGTGATGTCATCATGTGGTGATACAGGAAGTGCTCCACTGTGTTTTTAAACTCCACACACCTTCACTAGAATCATCTGGATCATTTCAGTCCTGGAATTGACCATTTCTACTCAACAAAAGGTAAAGGAGCTTTTAACTTGAAAAGTCCCACTTGATGACATCACAAGGTGGAACAGAGCATGTCGAGCTTTGGAGTAGAGCCCTCCAACCCGACACAAAGAGTGCGGCGCGGGACACATTTTGAAAGGTGATTTTGGGCGGCGGGCGGAGAGCAAGACTGCACAGTGTGGGAGCGGGCGGGTGGGAGGATAAACTGCAGTCCCACAAACTCAATCTGACACTAAAGTCAAATATACAAATGATTCATGTTTGTCTCATACATCATTTGTGCTGCACATTTGATTTGACATTCATCAAAACATTTGAAACACACTCAACTTGCACATGTGTCTAATCTCCATCACATTTACACAATTCTTTTCCTCTTCTCCGAGTTTGAGCTGAAGAAAGTGAACGTCCCGACCATCCTGTGGGATTTACAGAAACAGAACAAAATATCACAGATGTGAAAACAGAACAAAATATCACAGATGTGAAAACAGAACAAAATATCACAGATGTTGGAGCAGGAATGAAAATTCAGTCTCTCAGACTCGACTTTGGAGATTTACAAAAACTACGTTTTTTCAGCCGAGTCACACGACACTCAAGAATGTTGTTTAATTCTCCTCCACATCGTCTCAGCAGAGTTTGTACCAGATCTGACCATCCTCACACAAAGTGTCTGTGTTTCACACTCATGTGTTTCACACTCATGTGTTTCAGACTCTTGTGTTTCAGACTCTCGTGTTTCAGACTCTCGTGTTTCAGACTCTTGTGTTTCAGACTCTTGTGTTTCACACTCATGTGTTTCACACTCATGTGTTTCAGACTCTCGTGTTTCAGACTCTCGTGTTTCAGACTCTCGTGTTTCAGACTCTCGTGTTTCAGACTCTTCAGTGTGTTTCAGACTCTTGTGTTTCAGACTCTTGTGTTTCAGACTCTCGTGTTTCAGACTCTCGTGTTTCAGACTCTCGTGTTTCAGACTCTCGTGTTTCACACTCTTGTGTTTCAGACTCTCGTGTTTCACACTCTTGTGTTTCAGACTCTTGTGTTTCAGACTCTTGTGTTTCAGACTCTTGTGTTTCAGACTCTTGTGTTTCAGACTCTTGTCTTGTGTTTCAGACTCTTGTGTTTCAGACTCTTGTGTTTCAGACTCTTGTGTTTCAGACTCTTGTGTTTCAGACTCTTGTGTTTCAGACTCTTGTGTTTCAGACTCTTGTCTTGTGTTTCAGACTCTCGTGTTTCAGACTCTTGTGTTTCAGACTCTTGTGTTTCAGACTCTTGTGTTTCAGACTCTTGTCTTGTGTTTCAGACTCTCGTGTTTCAGACTCTTGTGTTTCAGACTCTTGTCTTGTGTTTCAGACTCTCGTGTTTCAGACTCTTGTGTTTCAGACTCTTGTCTTGTGTTTCAGACTCTTGTGTTTCAGACTCTTGTGTTTCAGACTCTTGTCTTGTGTTTCAGACTGGATCCTGCTGGAGCTGAGTGGTTGACTCCAGGACTCAGAAAGTGTAAGTGTTGAATGAAGTCCATGTGAAACAGACACAGATGATTTCAAATGGGTGTGAGACACAATGCATGATGGGAAAGTGAGTCCTCCCATAGAATGTGTGTAGTTGTGTGAGAGCTCAGACTGTGTGCTCCACAGCTGTGTGCTGCTGCTGGAGCAAAGGAGGAGCCCTGGAGCCACTGACACAGACACAGCTGTTGGACTCAGCACAGGACATTTTAAAGAGGGACATTCTGCAAAATCAATCTAGAGATCTCTCCCGGACCCTCCTTACTGTTAGCGGTACGAGTCTGTATAAGGCCCGCCCACAAGCCTACGTCCCCCAGGCTCCCGCACCACAATTCTCCATAAAAACACAAAAACATGACACAAAAGTGAAGACAGCGACTGGACAAACCTGATGTTTGTGCAGGAGTTTCATTAGTGGTTGTGTGTGTTGGGATAGTGCTCTGAAGGGGGAGGGACTTAGCACGGGGAGCAAAGAGAGGACAGACTCAGAACATCCCCCTCTTTAAAGGAGAAAGTGTGTGTCCTGGAGCACAGACGAGTGTAGGAATGTGTGGAGTGACGTCACAGACTGAAGCTGCACTTTGTCACTGCAGCAACAAACTCCAGAGAAATCCAGATTTACTCTGAGAATAATGTGAAACAGACTCAGATTTACTCTGAGAATAATGTGAAACAGACTCAGATTTACTCTGAGAATAATGTGAAACAGACTCAAGATTTACTCTGAGAGAATAATGTGAAAACAGACTCAGATTTACTCTGAGAATAATGTGAAACAGACTCAGATTTACTCTGAGAATAATGTGAAACAGACTCAGATTTACTCTGAGAATAATGTGAAACAGACTCAGATTTACTCTGAGAATAATGTGAAACAGACTCAGATTTACTCTGAGAATAATGTGAAACAGACTCAGATTTACTCTGAGAATAATCTGAAACAGGCTGGTGTGGGGCTGTGAGAGGAAATGTTTTTACAGTCACATAAAAATGAGACAAAGACAAAAGTGGAAGGATTCAGAAATAAAAGAAGAAGAAATGGAGTGAAAAAAAGAGGTGAATGGTGAAGGAGTGAAGCCTTTAAATGTGTAAATGTTTGATGAACAAACGTGGTGGTGTTGTTCTAGAATGAAACGTGTGTGTGTTGAGAGTGGACAGGCCACTCACTGCTGCTGTGTTGTGTTTTCTCTCCATCAGATTTCTGTGATCTCACTCTGGATCCAAACACAGCGAACACAAAACTCAAACTGTCTGACAACAACAAGAAGGTGACACGTGTGACAGAGGAGCAGCCGTATCCAGATCATCAGGACAGATTTGACCACTGGGCTCAGATTCTGTGTTCCACTGGTCTGACTGGTCGCTGTTACTGGGAGGTCCAGTGGAGTGGAGATGTTCATATATCAGTGTCTTACAGAAGAATCAGAAGGAAAGGAAACGGTGATGACAGTTTGTTTGGAGGCAATGATCAGTCCTGGAGTCTGTTCTGTTCTGAACTTGGTTTCTCTGTTCGTCATAATAACAAAGAAACTCGTCTCCCTCATCCCTGTTCGTCTTCTGGGAGAGTATCAGTGTTTGTGGACTGTCCTGGTGGATCTGTGTCCTTCTACACAGTTTCCTCTGACCAACTGACCCACCTCCACACCTTCAACACCACATCCACTCACACTCTGATCCCTGGGTTTAGGTTTGGATTTGGCGCCTCAGTGTCTCTGTGTTCTCCAGACTCACTCTCCTCAGTGTAAAACACGTGACGCACGCCCACCCCCATTGGTTGAAGAAAGTGAATGTTTTGGTGCCAGTTTTATTAAGAGGGTTTTTGTTATTCATTTGATATTATTAAGAGTGTTTTATTTTTTCAAATAGCAGCTTTTAGGGCATTAGTGAATCATATAATGTAGTAAAATGATTATTTTAGCACTTATATTAACATGATTTATCTGATTTTGTTTTTGTAACCTTGTATATGCAACAATGGACTGTGATACTATTTTGCACAGGATGTGCTGCAATATGAAACTCGGTATAAAGGTCCATGCTCTTTGAACACGGTGTTTGCACCTTGCTAGGTGAGGTGGCCGGCCTACAGAGCAACGTTTGCGGTTTTCAAAGCATCCTCTGTTCTTGGAGCTGTACTTCTCTATACTGCTATGTATGAAGACTGATCACTTTGCACGTACATGAGTGGAGCCCCGTCAAATCTGAAAAGTATAAATATATCAAATTCCACAGCAAATAAATTAAATCCTGATTTGGTTGCAGCATTGACCCCTCTAGCGTACCACTGCTAGTAGGCAAGATTCCAAATTTGAACTAGTCACGAGGCAATTTCTCCTAAGGTACTTGCATAGTGATTTGTCCTAATCATTTTGTATATGAGCTTTTGAGTAAAGTTGGAGTCATCGAGTAGCTGGGCACAGGATACCCTTGTTGTGAACCTTCTGAGTGTAAAACCTCGAGTAGGTAAACTTTTGCACAGCGATGAGCCGGTATTTCCCAGTCACGTGAATGACACATTAAAACTGAATAAAAAGCCGAAAAAATAAGACAAAGACAAATCACTTGTTTGGATCTTTTGTTGAGTCTCCCTTTAATACACATCTCTACAACCAGCAAGTCCAGCCAGACGAGGTGAGTGGTTTGACATGATGCAATGTTGAATCTAGATAAATGTTTTGATGCAATGTTAAGGATAAGTAGATGTGAAATTTGATGTTAAGATGAGGTGAATGTTTGATGTGGTTTTAAGACTAGGTGAATTTGAGTGTGTTGTCAAGGCGATCTGAGAGCTCATGAGATACAGGCCATATAGATTTACCCTGGGATTGCGACAACACGACAACACTTTTCATGTGTTTTTACATCAATGAACAAAATAATAATAATAAAATAATAATAATAATAATAATAATAATAGCAAATAATTAAAGCAGAACTAAATAACTTCAGTAATTTCCTGGTTTAGTCCTGGTTTGGTCCTGGTTTAGTCCTGGATTAGTTCTGGTTTACAAACACAGTTACATAAAACAATCCATATTCAGTGAAGATATAAATTTTAAAAAGGGCAAATGGATAGAAGAAATTTTGCATTGTCAGCAGTAAGTCAGACCTGTTCCCGGTGCATGTTGGACTCCGCCAGGGCTGCACCTGTCACCGGTTCTGTTCATTGTTTTTATGGACAGAATTTCTAGGCGCAGTCAGGGGCCGGAGGGTCCGGTTTGGGGACCACAGGATTTCATCTCTGCTGTTTGCAGATGATGTTGTTCTGTTGGCTTCATCGAACCAGGAACCTACAGCTCTGGGCGGGTTTGACCCGAGTGTGAAGCGACTGGGATGAAGATCAGCTCTTCTAAGTCTGAGGCCATGGTTCTCGACCGGAAAAAGGTGTCTTGCCCTCTCCGGGCGGGCGGAGAGTCTTTGCCTCAAGTGGAGGAGTTCAAGTATCTCGGGGTCTTGTTCTCGAGTGAGGGGAGGACGGAGCGTGAGATTGACAGGTGGACAGGTGCAGCGTCTGCAGTGATGCGGTCGCTGTATCGGACCGTTGTGGTGAAGAGGAGCTGAGCTGAAAGGCGAAGCTCTCGATTTACCGGTCAGTCTTCGTTCCACCCTCACCTCTGGTCATGAGCTCTGGGTAATGACTGAAAGGATGAGATCGCGGATACAAGCGCTCGAAATGAGTTTGAGGGACTATGTCTCTGGGCTGGCCTGGGAACACCTCGGGATCCTCCCAGAGGAGCTGGAGGACGTGTCTGGGGTGAAGGAAGTTTGGAAGTCCCTGCTTAGACTGATGCCCCCGCGACCCAACCCCAGATAGATGGATGAATGGATGGATAGAAAGAAAAAAAAAATTTTTTTTTTTAAATAAATAAATAAAATAAAATAAATAATAATATAAATAAAATTATAGTATCACTAATAATAATAATAATAATAATAATAATAATAATAAATATAGCTGCAAGTGGCGATGATCAGCCCTCGCTCGAGCCTACGCCGCGCCCACGCCATGCAGAGCCCTGCCTACGTCGTGCCCCACAAATGCACCTTACCCCTTGCCCTAACTCCTAAATTAACACTAACCCCAAAACCCTTTGTCCTCGAGATCTGAAATTCTACACAGTTGTTGCCAACAACTTGAACAATGAGTGTAGTGAGTCACAAATGCCTAGCATGAAGTATGCCCAAGCTAAGGCCTTTAATTTTTTCAAATGTTTTTTTGAAGCAAAAAAATATATTTTTTTAATCAATTTTAATTGACTGTACTGTAGGTTAGGCAGCACTCACAGTCTTCATGTACATATCTACAGAAACTAGAAGGCCTAAGCTTTAAAATGGCGCCTCACACAAGCATTGTGGGTTCTAAGTTTTTTTTTAATAAGCTATGGCATTTGGGTATGTAGTGCTATTGTGCACACGCCAAAATTAGGTGGATGGTAACAGGTTAAAGGGAGAGTGTCGCCTTCACTGTCCTGTTTGAACAGAGACATGTACAGTGTGTGGTCCTCCTGCTGGAGCCCAGAGTCTCGACTCAACACAAGATCAGAGTTTGTGGAACAGTGTGAACATGTGACACAGGCCTCTGCTCTGACTCTTTAAATTCAGACTCAAAACACTGTGTCTGACTAAAGGGTTTTTATTGTGTCACTTTAAATGACTGTGTACACATCCACATGACCTCAGCTCGTGCTGAATGTGTTTCACCAGAGCTTCTCATACTCACACTTTCATTGCCCTTGTGCTGTTTTTATGTGTGAGACAAATTTAAATTGATCAGTAAAGTGAGTCTTTCCTTCACCTTTACATCACTAAAGTGCTTCTTTAAAGTGTAATAATAAAACACAGTTGAACTGTTCAAAAGGACACAGAGCTGGGTTCTCTCCTCCTCACAGTGGAAACAGTTTTCAGTACATAAGTCCCTTTGCACGACTTTAAACTCTGTGACAACTGCACTTTATTTGTCACATGGCTCCAACTCCAGATAATTGTCTTCACGAGAAATGGACTGAACTATTTCCTCATTCACACCCATATGAGTGGAGTCTGATAGAATGTAAAACCTGTTTGTGGTTTGGATAAATAAAGAACAGAATGAACAGAATGAACAGAATGAACAGAATGAACAGTAATTAAAAACCAGCTCCAGTGTCATCAGTGTCAGTAATTGTACTTTCCCTACGCCTATGTTCCTGTCATTAAAACTACCTTATGTAACATCACCCTCTGTCCCAAACCATCTAGTGTATTTTGATTCCTGATCTAGTCTCTGGAGAGAAATGAGACTGAGTGGAGTCACTAGGTGGCGCCAGCCTGAGCACCAGCCCACCTCCTGGTCATTATAAATCCAGTGTGTTACAGCAGGTAGTTGAGCAGCCCAGTAGAAGCACTAAAGGTTTGGGAGAGAGACTCTGCCTCTGTCCTTTGGAGAACACAACAGTTTGAGTCTGATTCTTGGCTTTTTATTTTGCCTTTTAAATTTAGAAAGAATTTTGTTTAGCTGAGTAAATGTGGACATGGAGACTCACACACGTAAAGACTCAAATAGATGTAGAAGCCTTGGCAGGATTTTCATTTTGACGATTCTCAATTCTACCAAACAGAGACAGTGGCAGAACCTCCCACATTAATACATCTGCTTTAATTTGGGTAATCAACTGAAGTGTGTTGGGTGGAAGTGTGATCCCTAAATACTTTAAACCTTGGTCATTACGTTTAAATGATGCATGTTGGTAACATCCTGGACTCAGACTTGCTCTCATTGATTTTAAATCCAGATGGGGCCATAATCATCTCGGTGTTTCAACAATCAGAGATGAACACTAATGTGTCCTCCAAACACAACAGACCATCGTCCACAAATACAGTATTTTTGTGCTGAGTTCTGCTCTCATTTCTTAAACCATGAATGTGGGGTTCTGTTTCACTGCCTCTGAAAATGGTTCGACACTCAGAGCAAACAGGACTCAGCCCATCGTCCTGCCTCGTTCCTCTACCCAGATTAAAACATTCTAGACAGAATCCATTGATTCTTACTGTCAAGTCTTTAATTAAGGAATGAAGGTCCAACTTGAAAAACCAGGAAAACAGACACAAGGCTCAACTCAGCCTGAAGATTTTTTATTGAAATTGTTCAGTTCCTTTCGTAGTGTGAGTTGTATTTGTAGTAGTAGCTGCAGCAGCAGTAGCAGGTCAAAAACCTTTAAACAAATGTCTAATAATTAAATTAAATTTACATTTCAAAATGTCATTAATGATTTAATCTATTTTAATTTTAACTAATATACTTCAGTTATAATATTTATTATTTATATATATTTTATATATAATATTTATTGTAATATTTATTAATATACATTTTACACATTAACTTAATAGCTACAATTTTAACCAATGTATCATTTTACCAATTAATTTTAAATCCTAAATATTACTTTTTTTTTTAATACAATTTTAAATGACTATATGAAATAAATGTAATATATTATTTTAAGACGAATTTTAATAAATTAATAAATTGTTTTTTAATTGCTAAATATATATTTTTCAAATTAGTGCTACTTTAACTTAGTAGATTTTACACCATTTACCTTAAATCTGATTTTTTACTTTATATTTAAATAATCAAATGCCAATTATTAAATGATTTAATTATTCATTTTAGCTTTATTTAACATTTTCAAAACTTAGATTAGTAAATAAATTCAATTTACTTTTTTAACTTTCATCAAATAAATCAGCCAATTGTATTTAAATTTAACCTCGGCTTCTCTTTATACTTAAATTAAACAGAATAATCATTTTACATCTAAATTAAAGACATTACTTCTATATGGGTTTACCACAATTTGACTATTTTAACTAAACTTAAAAACTAATTTTACAGGTAAATTTACTCACCGGTGTCTCTGTGTTTTCCTTCACATTCCTGAGTTTGTTTGTTCACCTGGGCCTAATTAATTAAATGATTTCAGAGACACACCTGTTTTTTCTGCTGCCATCTAATCCTATTTTTGGATTCTTTTGTCTAAATTAAGGATAATCTGCCTAAGGTAAGGTTGACAGTGTTTAATGTGTTTGGTATTAAAGAATATCCATGCAGTATATTCAGCTGCTAACGGCTTTATCACCTGACAAACACGCTCCCTCTTCGTCGGGGGAGAAGTCGTGATCAAAATAGACGGTTTCTCCTCAAACATCATTTTCTTCCGGCCCCATGCAAGTTGCAGCACATTCTCTTTAACATTAAAGGAATCTGACAATGATGGACCCTGGAGGGACGGTAGGATCCTGGGTCTGGACACGACGCCCGACACGAATGTACAGACAGAAATGAGCGAAAAATGGAAAAAGACCAAACTGAATGTTTTTACCTCTTATGGAAAAACAGATAAAAAATGACCAACAAACAGTCAAAGACACAAGAACCATATTTTATTCAAACACTGTTAGTAAAAACAAGTCAAATCCAAGAGTTTTATTTCAGGTTCTAGACTCAATCTCCAAACCTAAAGCTCGTCTTTTTAGTGATGTGTCCACTGAACTGTTTTTAAACATTTTATTA